CATATAAAAGGGCATGAGAAACAACAGGTTTCTCACAGAATTAACAAGTCCCTTATCAAAATAACAAAACGAAGCTGCAAGATGCTGATCCCAAGGTCTGGATGAGCTGACCAAAGCTGAGGATGGGCAAGTGGTCAGGGTTCAGTGAGAAGGTGACTCAGTGCCAACCAATCACAAATATAGTTTCAAGATAGAGTATTGGATCTAAGCCAGGCAGAGCCCTATATTACTCTTAGACTTCAGCTATACTATAACTTAGCGTCTCTAAGCCCCTCCTGTGCTGGAGCTTTGCTGTCCTTTCAATAAACTTTGTGCTTGCTTTACTCTTGACTCCTGTTCCGGCATCTTCAATCATCGATTTTGCCAAGACACAAACTTGGGATCAACATCCAGTATCATCAGGAGGCTTATGGATCTCAGAGAAACCAGATCAATTACTACTGTTATAGGTCAATCCACTTTCCTGATCTCCACTGTTCAGATTTCATTTCTCTCCTCTCAGCTGCAGCAAATGTTTAAGAGGCCCTCTCTCCGATAATGTTATTTCAGTTTTCCAGTACTGCAGATGAGGAACCAAATCCAGCAAGAGCAATGCTTACCCTTTGTCACAGAAGCTCTAGAAAAATCGCAGTGACCTTGTTTAGCTTCCCTTAGTTCAGTAAGGGGAGACAGCTCTTTGGGAGCCTCTGGTGTAAGTGGAGCTCATGGTGCTAGGTAGGGAGGGAGAATGGGGCATTTATCACACAAGTGGCAAAGGTGCTTTGGTACTTGTGAAATCCTTTCAGGTCCTCTCTCCACCTAACAGTCACACTGGCTCACAGTAGGACTGTTGGCTCACTTCTTTGTCAGTCTGTATAACTTGGGGAGGCCAGTTGGACAAGCATTAGTCTTTTGTTTGTTTTGTCTTTTGAGACAGGGTCTCTCTATGAAGTCCAGGCTGGTCTCAGACTACAGATCCTTTTTCTCAGCCTCTTGAGTGGTGAGATTATAGGCATGTACTATCATGCCCAGTTTAAATCAAGTTATAAGCCATTTTATCCACATGCCCCCATTGAAAAAATCAATTTCTCAATTCCCCTAGCCAGCATTGCTCCCTTCCCAAGCTTTATATATATGTTGTCCTTAATTTGGACAAATTAAATCTTGTTTTCATGTGCTCAGTCTGGTTAATGGAGAATGACTAGAGGAGGTTAGAGAGGAATGAGGGTGGAGGTTTTTGGGAAGATTGGGTGAGAATTTCAAACAAGTTTTTATTTGAAATAGCAACCGAGTCCCTTATCTTCCTTCCTTCCCACACAGGGAGAAAGACCTCATCTGTACTGACTCCACCCTTGGTTTGGAGGACTGTAGCCTTGGGCTACATATTACTTTCTATGTGCATGACATGTTGTGTATAAGGAGAGGAAGCACTGGTGTACAGAAAAGGCCTTCAGAAGTGACTTTATTAGGGATTGGGTCTGTAGCTCAGTGGAAGAACATTTCCCTGGCATGCATGCAATATTAGGTTTGATCCCCAGCAACACACACACATGCAAAGTAACTTTGTTAAATTGCTATTAGAGCCCACAAGTGTTGGTATCCATTCTAGGACTAAAGATAAATAGAAATTATCCATGCTTTTACCTTCAATTTAGTGATAAAATGAGAAAGTGCACCAAGAATTAAGCCATAGTGTGAACAATATGTTCAAACACTACACCTCTAAGTGATGGAGAAGTAAGTAGTTTAGGATGTAGATGTGTGCAGAAAAGTAACAAGGGGGAAAACTTAGACCTTGGTCAAATCATGAGAGGAACTGAAGCTAAGTAAGAGTGGAGAATACATAGGGAAGATCCTGAGGGTTTTAAAGCAACCAGTGGCAGAACTCATCTCAGGAAAATCAGATTAAAGACACGGGAGAATATGGTGAGGCTCTGAGCGTTCAGGGTCTCAATTGCTTGCTGTCTTGGGGGGCTGCCCATCCCTTGGTGGAATAGAATGCTCCCCACTGGCTTCTCATATGACCAATTGTTTATATGTCATTCTAGAAGCATTCTTTAAAACTGACTGATCTTTTTTCTAGGCTGTATTTCCTTTTAAAAGTACTATTGCCTGACAAAAGGTAAATGACAAGATGTACTTGCCTTACTCAATTGTGCCACTAGCTTCTTCCTGTCCTTACCACTCTATTCTAGAATGAAGCAAAAGCCAAACACAGCACAGGGACTGGGTGTTCACTCTTCCCTCTGCCTGGAATGTCCCATCTCCCTTCTTTTAATTCTCTGCTCAAGTCTCACCTCCTTCCTGACCAATAACCCCTTTTCCTCCATCCCCCGATCCTAGTTTACATTCTCCATCTTACACATATGCTCTCTCACACTACAGTATTGCAGGGCCCCAAATTATCTTGTTTTCTAGGGTCCACAAATGGGCTGACAAAATGTCAGGTATCCCAAAATAGTACTGGATGGCTGACCTATGCAATAAGGCACCCTATTGACACCTCCCACAGCCTCCACCTCAAATAAACACCTGTTGTGCTGAAAACCACACCCCTCTGCAGTGAAGCCACATATCAAGGACAGCCAGATTGGAGAAAGACAGAGCAGCTGTGTAGAGCAGTTTCCCAGGTCTTCTGGACCTCTAGGCAAACTTGAGTAATGGTGAAAGACTTTATAAATTAAATGGGGACACATACTTCACACGCTGATTGGGAGGGTGAAAATGAGCTGGGACGGGCATCAGAGGTGAGAGAAGCTTGAGACAAGGTGGCAGTGCTAGTCCACATTAGCTGGTTCTCAGCAGTGCAGGTGCGTGTCTGGCCAGTACCAATTTAGGATAATTGTTCACCAGAGCAGGACTCCTGAGACTCTACCTCCTTCAGCATCTTGTGTCTCACGTCAATTGTCACTGTGTGCTGCTGTGACAGAGAATGACCTTGGGCCAAAAAAATGATCCCAGCTTGATGCACAAGTCTCCTTTCATGCTGTTCTGAGCATTTTTATAACAAAAAAAAATTCCATTTTAAAGGGGATGTTTGACTTGTTTCTATTGATAGGGCAAAGATAGAGTTTTAAATCTCAGCAACCACATCTTAATCATCAGAGAAAAAGTGTTTTGGGTATAAGCCAGTGGAGAGTAACTGGGGAGGGAGGAAAAGTAAAACACAACCACATCTTAATCATCAGAGAAAAAGTGTTTTGGGTATAAGCCAGTGGAGAGTAACTGGGGAGGGAGGAAAAGTAAAACACATAAATGCTGGTTTTATTTTTACCAAGGCTTCCCCAGAAACATCTGGAATTGCAATGCAGGCAAGCTTCTGTACTTGCCAGAAACCCAGGATCTTCAGCTTCTGGCTTCTCAGGTCCCTAACTGTTGCCTTTTGAGATCAGTGCTGCCTTTTCTCCATTCTGGCTCTGTTCCCCACAGCAAGTCCCCAAACTCAGCTAGGTGGCAGGTGCTCCAATGTCTGATTAATAGTCGCCACCAGTTAGGACTGAAATTTCATGAGACAGAGGCCTAGCTAAAGCCTTGCAACTCCAAGTTCAGTCTAGGACCATCCTCACTGGCATCCCTGGGGAACCACTTAGGAAATCAGTTTCAAGGTTCCAGACCCAGAGCGTGGGAATCTCATTCAAAAAGGATCACAGACCGATATGCCTGCACATTTGAGTATGGTCTCAAAAAGAAAACACTACAAAACAGCAAAGGACATGAGTGGATATTACACTGTCCCCTGCACAAGCAGCATATGCTGTCTGTTTCTTTATGGCTCTCTGTTGTCACTACTTTTTGAACTGTGAATGGTAGGTTTTAAAGATGAGATCAGCGCCATTCCAGGCACTTTCAATCAACCGCTGGGAACAAAAGTCAGCCCTGCAGGGATTTTGTCAGACCTGCACCATTGCAAGAAGTCGAAAAGATTTCTACTCTCAGCTTAAGTGGAAACTGGTGCTTCTAGTTTTTTCGACAACAGACTTGGCTTGCACAGAAAACAGCATGAACCTGAAAAGAAAACAATATGGATTTAAGTGGGGCCCCCGGCTCCTCTCAGAAATCTTACGCAAAGAGGTGCAAAGATTGGAGTTCTAGAGTTCACAAACAGTGCCTAGGCAGCCAGGAAGTTGTTAGTAATGAATACTGAAACTCCCCAAGATGGTACTGGAGACACAGAAGCTTTTATGGGCATACCAAAAGTGACAGTGATACTTTAAATTTTTATTTATAAATATCTGTATATATACACTTTAACCAAATGTGACTAAAAGGTTCTATTTTGTATAAAATATTAAACTTATAGTTCTCTATGTCCAGGGTGAGGTATCCAAAGAATGGAACAGTATAGTATTAATGTCTTCATTCTTTTGACTTCCAGAAGGAAAACTTGAATCACCTCAATTTTCACAACAAAATAAGTGATTTTTTAAAAAGACATCATCCTATTTACACATGAAGAAACATAGATATAAGTTAACCAGGTTATTTCATTTCATAAAAGTCACCAAAGCTGCTGGCAGGTGCATTTCTCTTAGCTTAAAAACCTCATGCAAACACAGCCTCTTGAGAGTCTGTGTGATGAGTTATAAAGCAGGAAAAAACTCAGTAATAAACTGATTCAAAATCCATCGCTATTTTAGAATACTGTAGTTTCAAGACGTTGAATCTTTTTCTTTTTTTGAGCCTCTCTTTGCTGATCTCAACTTTTTGTTGTTGATAGTGTCCATATCTCCTTCAGCAAAGAAAACTGAAAAGCCTGTCACTCCATTAGAGGACCTGATCTCCCTGGAGAGGAAAATGAAACTCTCTATAAGAAAGCCGAGGTCACATGCTAGGAGTCTAGTTTGGCCACAGGAAGGGAAGATCATCCTCCCAACCAGTTACGGGAAGGTGTCCAGAGTTCCAACTCCGAACCAGAAGGTTGCGGACCAGCATTGCCGCACTCAAGTTCAAGGTTGGATTGTGCAAGGCAAGTCCTCCAAACCCAGGGCCTGCACGGAGCAGGAGTGGGATGGGGATGCGGTCTACAGGTCGGAGTCGCAGGGCAGTGAGCTAAGGCAGGGCCGGGTGCTGCGCGAGGAGGCGCCCTGGGAGCTGGCACTCTTCTCCCCCTCCCCGTCCAGTACATCCACGGGGTTGGTGTAGGCCTTGGGCGGGGGCCGTGGCAACGGAAAGCCGACCTTGGACTTGGCGGCGGCGCTGTGCTCGGCGGGCCGCGGCCGGTGCTGACCCTCGCTATAGTACTTGATGGCCGGCGTGAGCGCGGGCTCAGGCCAGTCCACGTACACCGTGCTGATGCTGCTGCGGCGCGGGCCGGCGGAGGGCGCCTTGCGACGGCGGCGACAGCGCTCTTCGCACCAGGGTGCAAAGCTGAGCCCCAGCGAGAAGCCACCCAGCAGCAGCAGGCAGCTGCCCAGGTAGCCCAGCACCAGGCTGTAGCTAACTTGCACCGTGACCGGGCTGGCCGGGGCGGGCAGGACGGTGCGGTCCCTCAAGAAGTGGTTGTACCAGGAGATCGGGATGAGGCTGAAGAGGCCAGCGGCGAAAAGCACGACGCCCGAGAGGCCGGCCAGCGCGAAGTGGGGCTCTTCCTGCCAGCAGCGCACGCCGAGCGACGCCAGCAGCAGTCCCAGGGCGGTGACGGCCAGCGAAGTGACCATGAGTCCTCGCGCCACCAGCACGGGCTGAGCCTCGAAGTAGCCCAGCTCGTCCGACTGGCCGCACTCGCGCTCGCGGCTGCTCTGCTCGCGGCAGATGTCCCATAGGCCCTGGTACAGCACCACGTCCACCGGCTGGTCCAGGAAGCCCTTCACCAGCCGCCAGCCGGGGGCCAGCGTACTGATCAGGTTGAGCAGCAGCGCGCAGGGCGCGAACACCATGCCCAGCGTCATCACCACCGGCGTCCGCATCCTGGGGACCTGCGCAGCGCTCCCGACACGCGAGCCGCGCACCTGCCGCCTGCTCCGTGGACGTGCGTGGGGCACCGGGTCACCGATGTCAGCGCGACTGCCGCGTGGGGTCGCGGCGATGTGCCCTGTTCTCTCTTGGATGATCTTTGTGTGGCACCGGACCGTCCCGTTCTGCCCCTCTCCCCTTGCGTCCTGGCCGCTCCGCCTTCCCGCCCGGCCCCTGTCCCTAATCGAAACCAGCTCTGGGGCAGGTGTGGCCGAAACCGCCCGCTCAGGTGCGGCCCCCCGCGGTCAAACCAGCCCGGGTGGGAGGGGCGGGAGGTGAGCGCAGCGAGCGACAGGCCACTTGGCACTCGGCGAGCTCAGACTCCCGGGGGTATTCGGACACCCCGCCCCACAGCCAGGTCCTCGGCCTCGCCCCACCGCGACCGCTCGGGGACAGAGCAAAGGTCGCCCCGCCCCGGCTCCTTGGCGCCACCCGCTGAGGCCAGGCCGTGGGCGGGGAAGGACAGAGGCGGGGCGGCGCGGATCGCGCCACCTGGGCCACCGGTGCTGCGCAGGGGCTCTGGTTTGCGGGTCTCGGTTCCGAAAGTTTTTCCCCCGCCGGTTTCTGCCGGTGGGTTCTGCAGATTCAGCTGTTCCCTCCCCTCCCCGCCGGCGTCCTATGTCCCCCAGAAGCTTTGCGTTCTGGATTTGCAGCCACTCACCGAGCAGTGGGCGGCGCAGGGGGAACCTGCTGCCCGGATGCTCCGCACAGGTGGGCACCGAAGGTCACTTGGTGCAGAAGTGTGCCCCAGAGAGTCGCACCTAAATTGCTAACTAAGACTTGCTCGCTCAACTTGCTTCATAAAGGCTCCACGCTCCGGATTAAGTGTAACTGAGACGCAAAGCGAGTGTGTTTCTGAATTGAGTTAGAAAAGGGTTTTTTTTTTTAGCCTTGTAAAAGACTGAAGGGGAAAGAAGAGGGGTGTTATGGGTGTCCTATTTAGCACACTTGACAGGTTTGTCTAGGTCTATAGAGTTCTGTGGCCTTCCTCGGCTTTGAGCAATTTTACAACTCGGTAAATTGTAGAAATTATAGCATTGCATATGAATTTTGGTCGGAAAAATGCAAATGACTTTGTTCTGGTGGACTATAATTGATGTTGCCCAGTGGCTACTGGCTGGCTTGACATTGGCTTGTAAGTTTACTTTAACATTCTTGTTCACCTACATATGTGTTCTCTGCATTCCCTCCTTTGAACCGCTTTTGACATCATACTGCTTTAAGTTAAAATATTTGGCACATATTTATTTTATATTTAAGTAGGAGTCGTGATTTTTACTTTTTAAAAATTATTATTTAACAATATTTACTCCTTCCTTTCTCCCTCCCTCCCTCTCTCCCTTCTCGTCCTCCCTCTCTTTTCTCTTTCTTTTTCTTTCTTTCTTTCTCTTTCCTTCCTTCCTTCTTTCTCTTTCTCCTTCCTTCCTTCCTTCCTTCTTTCTTTCTTTCTCTTTCTCCTTCCCTTCTTCCTTCCTTCCTTCCTTCCTTTCTTCCTTCTTCATATACCCTTCACAGTCATGTCCCCAGTGACCTATGTCCACTTCCTCCAGCTAGGACCCACCTTGTCATGGCCCATTCAGCTATGACATCATCAATGGGTTAGAGCCATTCCTTCAGTGGCCCCACCTATGAACACTGCTGCCTGGTGACCAAACCTTCAATAAATGAGCCTCTGAGAGACATACCAGATCCAAACCATAACAGTAGCAGTTGGAAAGTGCTTGTTGGAAAACTTAGAACACTAAGGACAGTTTTTATAATGAAAACTGAGAGGAGGACACGGTTACATTGAAATGACCCTGGCTATAGAGAAAGAGGTGAAATTACCCAAAGGTTGGGACGCTTTGGACTGGGAGAGGAGACCATAAGGACAAGTTGAACCAGGTCCAGATTCGGTGGATTGTAACCTGGAGGGCGGTGCCTAGAACACACACTCAGGAAGAAAAAGGGTCTGTTGTTCTTTTTGGCCCATATCTTGTATGTTATGGATCCTTCATCTCTGTATGTTATGGATATGTAAGTTGTAAGTTTGTGACAGTTCAGAATTTTTCTCTTATCAGAGGTGTAAATGGCATGCCATAAAATGCACATAAATGAGATCTGACCTGCAATACACAACACACACTACCTTTGATAATGTGTGTGCCTGTGAAACTATTGCAGAACACACCCATGTTCTCAGAAGGTTCCCGGTGCCCCTGGGTGGTCCATCCCAGGAACCACTGATCTGTTTGCTTGCTTCCTTTGTTTCTTTCTTTTTGTTTATTTTTCTAGGGGGAGGGATTTACACTTAGGGCTTTGAGTATGTGAGGGAAGAGAGCTCTGGTTATTTTGGAAACAGTCTCGCTTTTTGACCAGGTAGCCTGGACTGTGATCCTCTTATTTTAGGCTTCCCACAATCTATGGGATGACAGTTGCACAGCACCACACCCAGCTACTGGTTGAGATGGGGTCTCACAAACTTTTCTGCCTGGTCTGACCTGAAACCATGATCTTCCCTAACCCATCTGCCCAACTAGTTAGGATTACAAGTGTGAACCATCAGCTTTTTTTTTTTCCAGACAAGGTCTCATTCTGTAGCCCAGGTTGGTCTTGAATTCACAATCCTCCTGCATCAGTCTCATTAGGGCCGGGATTACAAGCATGTACCACCATGCCTGGCTCACTGATCTGCTTTCTGTCAGGACAGATTGGTTTTCATTTTTTAGAATTTTGTAAGCCAGAAGCATACAATATAGATTCTCTATAAGAGAATGTCAGTTTGTCTCCCATGATTCCATGGTCCTACAATTTGTGTGATCACAGGACTATTTGGGGACTCAGGTTAAACAGATTCCTAAGCCCCAGGCCAAATCTACTGAATGAGGTTCCCCACGAAAGCACCGTGGAATCTGATGGATTCCACCTGTGTTCAAACCCCCTTAGGCTCAGGTAGGACATTCTTTTGCTTTTAAATGCACTTTACAGTTTGCCTCTATTTTGAAATCTAAATGACTATGGTTTAGAAAACTGTGGCTAGTTTACAAACACTTTATGTGATATGAACCCTCCTTCAAAAATAGTTTCCTTTTCATTTGGATACCCCTGTGCAGTGAATGAAGCCCAAGTATTACTCACTTGTGAGGGGAGGAAAGGAGGAAAACCTGTGTCTACTGTCTCCTAAGTGTCTCTTCAGGATTTCCACTCTCTTCCCTCTCCATTGGCCCAGGCCATTCTCTCATCTTGCTCCTTAAGCTGACCTCTAATTATCCATACTCTCTTCCCTCAGAGGTGTCCTTTTAAAATTTAAATGGAAGGCCAGGAGCAGTGGCTCATGCCTGTAATCCCAGCAGCTAGGAAAGCACAGATAGGAGGATCATGCTTGGAGGACAGCCTGGACAAAAAGTTAGTGAGACCTTATCTTAAAGAACAAGCCGTGTAGTGATACATGCTTTTAATCCCAGCAATGAGGGAGGCAGAGGTAGGAGGATTGCAGTCCAAGGCTGGCCCTGGGCAAAAGCAGAAGACTCTACCTGAAAAATAACTAAAGCAAAATGTACTGAGGTGTGGCTTAACTGGGAGAGCACCTGCCTAGCTTGAGGCCTTGAGTTCAAACCCCAGTTCTGCCAAAACAAATTTTTGTAATGAAAGCAGGTACTGTGGTAACCCTTTAGGAGACTTTCTACAGCCCAGTGACAGCACTGATTCCAGCTCTCTCTCCTCCCCTGTTCCTCCTTGTACTCTAACTCAGGAAATGCATGTGTTTTTCTAAGGCTTGTCTTCCCCTTCACCTCTAGACCTTTGCACATGTAATTTTCTTTCTCTGGTGCCTGGCTTGCCACTTTTCAACCCCAATGCCAAAGATAGGTGTTTGTTGAATGCATTTTTCTCTGGGAGGGTCTCCTCATCCCCCAGATTATGTTAGCTTTTCCTATTTTGTACTTCGAGGTCTCCACTTCTATCAGACCCCTCACCATGAATGCTTGGTACTCAAATGCATCTCTAGTGTCTGTACCCCTGAGACAGGGACCATGTCCATCCTGCCTGTTCTGTCCTTTAACTCTGCCTTGGGGCCTGGCCCATTCAACCATCTAATCTTACCCCTTTCTGCCCTCTGCCTGTGGTTCTTCCACATAGTGTACACAGAATTGCCTTAGAGATGGCTGCCTGGCTAGAGCACATCGTTACAGGTGTCTCCACAAGCAAGGTTTTCTGTTGGAATGTGTGTGTTTGTCCACTATAGTAAATAATGAGGCATGGGACAGGTCCAGAAATTTATGATGAAGTGGTGGCCCGTGAGGTCTTTCTGTGGCAATAAATGAAACAAGTCATTGTGGAAAGTACAGCTCCCGAGTTCACAGTAAGGATGAGTGAGAAACAAAGCATGAATCACAGAGAGGCAGGAAGGAGTTATTGTGGAGTTAAGTGTCTGTGTAAGCTGATCCCCAGATCTTATAATAGCTTTCTTTTCTGAAGAGGGGCCCCATGGTAATATAAGAATCTATTAATTTTGCCCCAATGTTTGAGATGGATCGTGGGCCTCCAGTGACTAATTCTGAAGAATTAGGTTAGCCTGCACAGAGACTACCTGGTGCACAGTTGTAACCTTCTGCAGTGACTTTATCATGGAAAGCCACATTGGAAACTAGTGGGTCAGGAGGGGTCCCCCAGATCAGTTTGGTGTTAGGACAAATTTTCAGAGTCCCTAGGCCAGGCCTTCCTACTTCACTCTCCAAATGGTAAGTCCTGAACACTATTGTGAGTCTTCCAATGGTAAATCTAGTTCATTAGGTTATAGAATAAAAATTAAACTTAAAAACTTTTGTCAGTCTGTAGTTTTAAATAGCATTAAAACACCCTGAATCAAATGACGCCTCTTCAACATATCATTATCTTTCCAAGTTGGCATGTGGCTGTCAGTTGTATTTTTGTTGTTGTTTTAGCTATGTGTGCCTACTATTGTAGAAAACAAGTA